TTTTATAAATGCCTAAAACTATATCTGCTTCTTGAAGATGGCCAATGTAAATTATCATATTAAAGACTTTGAGAAATCTTTGGATAATAAGGCACCTTCTGAACGCCAATGTTTGCTATCATCAACTATGAAATTCTTACTTTTCATTTAACAAAAACATAACAACTTTGGGGAAAGATGGTTTACAGCTTTTCCTATACAAAAATACAGTATTATATAGTAAAATTATCTGAAGTGTTTTGATAGTATTATTATAATACTTAAGAAAATTAATGTGCTGTACACTTTGGCATATTCTAGTAAAGTTATTTATTCAGTTCTTATATGGGGAACACATACAGTCCACATGTGCAACCAATCAGCTCTCAAATAGAGATGGTGAGGAGTACATTGAGTGCTTAAAGATCAGATTGTGCTCCTAAAGAATTTTTATGATCTTCAAACTGCCTTCCTGAAGTCAATACTGCTAACATTTGCTTTTATATAGCTCTGGTTTACCTCGTGGAAGATTAGACTTCTAGATCCTTTATCTTAGACTGAATCATAAGACCTCAGCTGACCAGTGACACAAAGTATATATTTTAATTCTGGGCCAAAAAAAAAATGACAATGAGATGTTTACTTCTTTATTTAAATGCTATTTTATTTTTAATTGTATGAATATGGGTATGTGTGCATGTGTGTGGATGCAGACAGAGGCAAAGGCTAACCAACCCACTGGGGAGCTAACAGGTCCTCTACAAGAGAAATGGATCTTCTTAAGGACTGAATCATCTCTACAACCCGAGACTCTGTTTTTATTCCTTATAACCAAAGATGCCTTACATAAAATTGTGAGAGTAAGTTCTTGGGTCAGCATGAACACCTCATCATTTGAAAGACACCTGGACATGTTTGGAAGATAGACAACGTCACTAAGATTATGGGCTGCTACTGCAGCACCGATTGTACTGAGAAGAGGGCAAAGAAAAGTGTCTTTCTCCATATCTTATCTCTAAGAAACACAGTGAGCCTATATGACTAATCTATGTATCAAGGGCTAAGAATCAGTACTACATCTCTTAATTAAGGTTTCTATTGCTGCCAAGAGATGCCATGATGATGGCAGCTCTTACAAAGGAAAACATTTAATTGGGGCTGCCTTCCAAGTTCAGAGATTTAGCACATTATCATCATGGTGGGAAGTATGGTAATGTAGATAGACATGGTGCTGGTAAGGCAGCTGAGAGTCCTGCATCTGGATGAGCAGACAGCAGAGAAAGACAATGGGCCTGGATTGAGCAGTTGAAACCATAGAGCCCACTCCCATCGGCACACTTCTGACAAGGCCATACCCCCTTTATCCCTGCCAAGTAGCACCACTCCCTAATGACCAAGCACCAAATATATGAGCCTATGGGGTCCATTCATATTTAAACCACCACACTACCCAATGGTAAGAAATCACAAATAACCAAATAACCTTCATTATCAGTCCTTCTTATTTCCAGTTATGAAATACATAAAGTAAGAATGATTCTAGAATAACCATTAGAAAAATGCTAATGTAAAATTTATTTAATGGTAATGTAATGGTAATAAGAAAATGATGGAGCATTTTTAATAATTACTTCAGTATTAATAATTTTAAGTTATAACTATAGGTAAATTGTGAAATGTAAGCAGAAAATTTCACTTTTAATGACTTTCCTCTAATATATGTAATGAGTCATGTATTGCTTCTTCAAGTAATTATTATGTGAAATTATATTTAAATAATGTGAAGTTAAGTTTAAAAATTGAGTAAAGTGTTTGAAATATTGGTTGAAACTGCTAATATAGTGAGTGATAATTACGTTAGATGCAATTAGCAAAAAGACTCTACCTATTATACGGCGTTTCAGTCTTGGGACCTGGGGAAACACAAATAGATGGGAAAGAATGAAAACAAGTTTGTAGGGTCAAGGCTAAGGGAAATAATCCAGATGTAGATCTGACTCTCTAAAGGCCTATGGTTTGAAATTCAAGGTCAATATTCAAATTAATGAAGGGAATTTAGTTTTGATTGTGTCACAGTGAAGCAAAGTGAGAATGGATTGCCAGCAAAACATTTGCTTAGATAAATCAGTTCCAGGCAAAAAGTAATAACCTTGACTTTGATTTAAAAAAAAAAAAAAATCTCCAATTAGGTGACAGTATTCAGTAGGTAGGAATTTGGTTTCTCTCTTAAAATCCCTACATAATTATCTTATTTACAAGCACTCAAAGGTATTTTGATACATAGATATGAGATAGGCAGCAAGGTTCACTTACTACTCAAATAGATATTAAACTACCAAGGCAACAAACAAGGCAAAGCTTGCAACTACACTTCAGAAAATTCATAAATTGTTATGTCATAAAACATTAAGATCTATCCAGAATAGCTAAAGCCACCATGGAAATCAGATAGAGATACAATGAAAAAAGTCTGATGCTCTTTAAAAAAAACACATAATCTAACAATAAGACAAAAGCTAGCGTTTAATCCTGACAGTTGATCTCTGTGAGCTCAAGGCCAGCCTGGTCTACAAAGACAGTCCAGAACACCCAAGGCTGTTACACAGAGAAACTCTGTCTTAAAAACAAACAAACAAACAAAAAAGATAAAAATTATAAACGCCTAAAGTTTCTTTAAAGTGTCAGTATTCAACGGTTTGGGGCATGTAAAAATGTTCCTAATTACTCTTTAATACTGGGTTCTGTTTCTCTAGGTATCTTCCTTCTTCTATTCTAAAGAAATAACCAGATCCGCCATACTATTATCTGGCCTAACCCAGTTAGTCATCTCTTCATTAATGAATGCATGGACATGCAATAGCAGGAAACATTTCTATCATGTTACTATCAGCCAGAGAAGAAAGCCTGTAACAGAGAGCGGTCAGAGTCAAGAAAACTATCTAAAAAACATCAACAAAGGCAAGCATTCTGGAGATGCCTGACCTCTGGACTTCTTGTTAGAGAGGAAAATAAGCCTTTTATCACTTGGATAAACTTAATGTTAGCTTTGTTCCTGGAAGCTGCAGGAATCATAACTTAGGTGCTAGATTTCACTTATTTAAAAGTATAATAGAAAATGCATGCACAAATAAATGAAAACATAATAAACTTTTCTAATGTATGTTGTCAATTTCTGGTTTTCTCTGTTCTTTCATGGTAGTGTATACTCAGATATTTTTGCCTCATTTTCCAGTTATCACCTTTACTTCTACGTTACAATTTAGATAAAACAAGATTTTACATAGAAGGTATGTGCCTTTGTAAAATGGCTTAGTTCTTACATTTTGGTCTCACCCCTGTTAATAATTTGTTTAGTTCTAAGCTCCACAGCACTTCCCTTTAGACTGTTCCGGTCATTGCTTTTACTTGGCCACCTTAGCATTAGTTTTCAGAGATCTGTTACACTGAAACTTGTGAGAACATGTCTTCAGTTGTTATTTCCCCTTCCATATTTTACTCTTTACAGTACAACACATTTCAGGAGGAGGGGAAACTGAAAAAGAGGGCAGTGTCTTAGAGGTTTATTGCTGTAAAAAGATTTAATTGGGGTTGGCTTACAGTTCAGATGTTTAGATCACTGTCGTCATGGCGGGAAGCATGGTGGCATAAAGGCAGACATGGTGCTGGAGAGGCAGCTGAAAGTTCTACATCTGGATCCACACACAGTAAGCAGGAAGAGAGAACGGCTGAGCCTGACTTGAGCATTTGAGAGCCCAAAGCCCACTCCCAGTGACACACTTTTCTCCAACAAGGCCACACTCCTAAGAGTGCCGCTCCTTAGGAAATGGGGGCCATTTTCATTCAAACCACCACACAGGAAAAGGAGATCAGAGAAGGAGGGGAGAAAGAAGAGGAGGAACTCTGCTATTGATTTTAAGAGTTGGTGCACCCTATTTCTCTACTTCCATTTTCAGCTTTTCTCTATCCTTCCCTTTAGACCCTTTTGTAATGATTTGGGTTTTGGATGTAGTTGGAGGCTGAGAGAGAAAAGAATCATTTGCCTTCTCCTACAACAGGGACCCATCTCCCTAGTACTTACTAAAATTTTTTTATAAAACTTTATACCAGGTATAAGACCAGAAAAAATTAACTGATTCATATACATGAAGTAAAAAAAAAGTATATATCTGTGTGTATTGTATATACATATTACATATATTTTTTTTTCTTGGAAGCTCTAATAGTTACATTAATTTTCTTCTTCAGTGCTAAACACTGAGCCCAGATCACTATGCAAGCTGGGCAAGTGCTTTAACACTGAGCTCCACTCCCAGATTTTTGTATTAGTGTTTTGAGATATTTCCCTCCACCCATTATTTTGCAGACTTGGCCAAAAGATATTTCACAAAAAGCCTGTGTCTGTGTGACTGTTAACTCTGTCTCTCACTGATTAGAAATACACATTGTACTCTCAGAGCATGTTTAACACCACTCAGGGACACTTGCTCCGTTAGCAAAAGGATTATCAGAATGGGTTCCTCTTAACCTAACAGTAATAGTTTGATCCTTCCACCTTCAAATACTGCCTTATTTCAATAACACCATTTAGAGACAATAATAACTGTTTTCTTGGAAACTAATAAAGGACTTTTCATCTAAAGTATATTTAAATTTCTTGGTGATAGTCAAGAAAGTTGAGAAAAACTTTAACTAAAGCCTTTTGAGAAATTGCTACTCCCTGGCTTTGTGTGTGTGTGTGTGTGTGTGTGTGTGTGTGTGTGTGTGTGTGTGTGGTGTGTGTGGTGTGTGTGCATGCCTGCGCACATGTGTCTGTGTGTGTGTTTGTATGTATGTATGTATGTATGTATGTATGTATGTATGTATGTAAAGTAGAGGGTCTCACTAGCCTCAAACTTGGAGAAATCCTCTCTTCTCCACCTTCCTAGTGTCAGGATTATAGGAGTGAGCCCCTCAAAATAGTCCTATTTAATTATTTAGCCTTCCTCACTCTTTACTCCTCACTAATCATAAGCGGTCCAGAACTACAGGCTGGAGAGACCATTGGTAGACAGTTACCAGCCCTAGGGCCTGAGCCAGCTGGCCTGCCCCCTCCACACACCATCTCCAGCAGCAGGCTGGAGCATGGAAAAGGCTCTTGGGATGCTCCTGCCTCTCCAGATGAAAACACATTTCTCACCACCTCCACCCGCAGTTGAGTGTGAGAATGAAGCCTTCCCAACGAGGTCAGCCACCAACAGTGGCTAGGAAACCCTGCAGCTCAGAACCCAGGCAGCCGGGCACTCCTAAAGCTGCCACTGCGGCCAACCCTGGCCACCCTGCTGCACTCCTCTCCACACAACCCAACCCCACACTAGTTCCCTTTCTCCTGAGACTTCAGAGACATAGGCCAGATTCAGGGTGAACTTCCAGCCAGGGGAGAGGGTGTAAATGTGACACCTCAGAGAGAAAGCACTGTCACCAAACATCGTGGGGGTGGCCAAGGCTTCTCCCTTGAAATATCCTAAAGCTATTTTACTAATGCCATAAGAACCAAAGATCACCTTAGAACCTGAGCCGGTGTGTTCTGCTCCTCCGGGACCCTGCACATCTGGCTGCCGGGTGTCTGACGCGGTGTGTTAATGATGATGTCACTGCTAACAAGCAGCCTGTGGGCTGCAGAAACTCCATGAAGAATGCCCAAAGGATGGGGACACCCATTCAGCTGGCACAGATTTGAGGCCAGAAGCAGCTGAGGGCATACACCTGTGTACCGCAGCAAGCCTGGGGCCCAGAGGAAACACATTTCCCTGACATTAGCTTATGAAAAGTCAAAAGGAAAAAGCACCTTTTGATAAGGGGCGGGGGGTGGGGGGAGGCTGTGCTGTTACAATAATAGTGAAAGCAATAACAACGTGGAGATCAAAGCTCCCTAGCTTTCAGAGATAATGAGCTATCTGGATTTCAATCTTCCGCCAGCCTGCTCTGCCTGGCTTTGGCAACAGCGTGCGGGCAAAGCCATGTGAAGAACTGAAGAACTGTGCGTGGGCACAGTCACCTCTCCCCTGCAAAACACTAATTCTAATATTTCCCTTTCACAGCATTTTGTTGTTGTTGTTACTCTTGAGTCCCAGAAACTTAATAAAGAAGAAAAAAAAAAAACAAAACCTGCTCGATTGTTGTCCATTTAACAGCGCTTTTCTAAGACAACCACGAGCAACAGACCCTGAAATGTACAAAGCTCAAAAAGAAATAACTACCAGCTCTGGTTGGTGGCCCTTCAGAGCTGGCCAGCAGACCCCACGATGTGACAGCCTTTGTGCTCTGCTGTGCCATTTTCTGGAAAGGTAAGCTACCAGCAAAGTTCTGTGACATGGAAAATGTCAGGGGCTCTTAGCTGCCCAGCTCCCTTAATCACAGCGCCACTCTGTGGTCTCCTGGGTCACCACTAACACCGCTGGATTCTCAGAGGCCCAGGGCAAAGCTACTGAGGCAACCCTTGCTTCAGGGCCACTGAACTGAGGTGGCAGTGAGAAGCAGCAGGAAGCAAACACCCTTCCTGCCTAAGCCTGGGGAGCATTCACAATGGCTCATTCCCTGAAGCAGAGTACACACAGACTATTTTTATGCCTTTTAAGACAAAGAAAAAAAGAAAAGAAAACGAAACCAAAGTCGTTTCTGTGATAGGAAACAGTCCTTCTTCTCGATTTTCACTTGACTTGATTGCGCACTCACCCCGCAGGGGTCCCCCAGCTTGCAGAGAGCAGTGACCTTCCAGCATGGAAAGAGAACAGCCAACGGTTCTCTAAGAAGCAAACTCCAAGTGCCTTCTCGCCAGTGAGAGTTTTCTTTCTGTGTGAGTGTCATCTTTCCTAGTAGCTCAAGTCCAGCTGAAACCAGTATGGGCAAGCTTGGAGTGGAGGAGCTATTCTCTGGGCCTCTGTGCTGTCTCCGCTGAGGGCAGGGGGACAGAGAACATGTTTTCAGAGGCTGTGTCTCCCTCAGGTACAACACGGACCGTGGGCACCCGCCCTCTTCTAGCTCTTTCTGCTTCTCTGCTCCTCAAGTCCTGAGATCAAAGGAGTAAACCCCTGCAGTCAGCAGTGCCTAGGATCACCGTTCACATTTGAAAGACGCTTGTGAGGAACTGTCATTCCACTTAAAACCATCCGGCCCTGAGACAGCAGCCACCACAAGTGGCTTCGACAGCCGCTTTCCGGGCATTAAGAAGGAAAGCAGGAATGAGCTTCCTTCCTCCCCGGCCTTGCTGGCCTAGGAAAAGAGAATGTCAAAGGCGCTTGGATTATAAAGTTCAAACTGAAAGCTAGGCTGGGGCGGGAGCCTGCGCTAGGCAGCCCGGCAGACCTTGGCACCGTTCCCTGAGGCTATCCCGAGGGTGCAGCTCGCCAACCACCAGCAGGAGTGGAGACAGGAGCACCTCTCCGCAGCCAGCCCTCGAAGGCTCTCTTCATGCTGGCTGTGGTCCTCGCAACCCTTCCATCTGCGCCTGCGCAGCACACCAGGCTTCACCACGCAGAACCTTTGCAAGGCTCTCCTGGGATAGCAAAGCTCAGCCCCGCCCCCACCCCCAACCCTGGAACAGGAATGGCAGTGGGAAGAGTCTGTGCTGATCTCCCCAAGTACCGGTACCGTGCCAGCTGCCAAGGTCCCATCCACATGCTATCTGGGGAATGAGTAGTCTGTGTTGCTGGTGTCAAAAGCTGCATCCCTCACACCCAGGCAGCTGTGGCTTAAGGTGTTGTCAGACCCAGAGCTGCTGTGGGACCTCGCTGGTATGAGCAAAGGAAGCAGGAGGAAGGTCGGCTTCAGCTGTCCCAGGGAAAACATCGGGGGAGACTTCGTCTTGCTTTCCTTCAGAGCCTGTGACTTCCACATCTTCTTGAGCCTTTAACAAACACACAGAGGATTCGACAAGATGGCGGCGCCAGGAGAACACTGCATTTGAGGAGCAGGACATTTTCCGTACAATGACCAAGAGACTGAACTCTGGGCCCTAAAACAACAGCGATCGTGTTTCCCAGGTGAGAGGAAACCTCACGGTGTGGGAATCAGTCGGGACCATGCTCAGGTCACCCAGCCAGAACCCGAAAGAGATCCAGGGTTTCGCAGGCACTAGGTCGCCGGACCAGAGCCACAAGACTACGTGTCCCGAAGACCTTCCCAGGCTGAACGGTGGGCACAAAAACACCAGAGACTGGAGGTCCCCGTTGTGAGAAAAACCCACAGGGAAGGAAGGAAACCTGACCTCGGGTCGCCTTTTCCCTGGAAAAGGTCTCACAGAATGACAGGTGTGCACTGCCAGCACTGAATTGGGCTCCAACTGTGAGCATAGAGACTTGCTGTGCATCCACCCAGCTGTCCATCATGGACAGAACTGTGCACCCCAGGGCACCAAAGACTGGGAGTGCCTATCGGGAGAAAACCCCACAGGGAAGAAAGCAAACGGGGATGGACTTAGGCCATCCAGTCTATCGCTGGGAAAGGTCCCACAGACCAGTGGGGGTGCACGCTGCCAGCCCAGAGACCTGCTGTGCACCAACTAGCCTGCAGCTACCAGGAGAGCGGTACTCACCTGCCACAGATTACTGCTTGGGTATTGGGGCACAGAGCTCCAACCTCAGACCTACAGAAGTCTGGGATCCCCGAGATCAACCTCCAGATACTGCTCCAAGGGGCAACCAGTTATCCCTAACAAAACTGACCAAGCCACGGGGCACCCAGGTTACAGCAGCAGCTCACTAAATTTACAGCAAGAAACCCAGAAGCAGGGCAGCTGTCTCCAGGACTTCTCCGGGTGAGAGGACAGCCCTCTTGACTAACAAGAACCACAGTTACCACTCAGGTGTATATGCCCGAAGTGAGCTGAGGCAATTCCTGAAAAACACTGACCATTCAGTGACCATACCCAAAAAGCTGAGGGGGCTTCCTTCAGGAAAAACCATCTTCCTGCCAAGAGGATTCTCTCCACCACAGGATTCCAGGAAACACCAGAAACTAACACCCAGCAACCAAGAGAGCCCAACGGGTAGAGGCCAGCGTAAAAGCTCAACCAACAAAACAGAGCAATATGGCATCTCCAGAACCTAGTTATCCAGGGGCAAGCAGCCCTGGACACCCCAGCATAATTGAAATTCAAGAAGATGACCTAACATCTATGCTTAAAAAGATAATACAGGAAACAAATAAAATGCGTAAAGAACTAGAAGAAGATAAAGCCAAACAGATTATGGCCATCTGTAAAGAAATAGAGGAAGATAAAGACAAACAGATTATGGCCATCTGTAAAGAAATACAAGAAGTTGCAGCTAAACAGTTTGAGGCCTTTAGAGAGGAAATACTTAAATCACTGATAGAAATAAAAGAATCAGAGGATTATTCAAACAAACAGCTGAAGGAATTGAAGGAAAAACAGGAAAATACAGTCAGACAGGTAAAGGAAATCAACAAAACGGCTCAAGATCTGAAGATATAATTGGAAAAATTAAAAAAAACACAAATGGAGGAAATTGTGGAGAGAAAGAACTTAGGAAAGAAAACAGAAGCTACAGAGGTAAGCATAACCAATAGACTACAAGAGATGGAAGAAAGAATCTCAGGTGTGGAAGATACAATGGAAGAAATCGATGTATATCCATCAAAGAAAATGTTAAATCTAAAAAATTCCTGACACTGACCGTCCAAGAAATCCAAGACAACATAAAAAGACAAAACCTAAGATTATAGGAATAGAGGAAAAAGAAGATTCCCTCCTGTAAGACCTGGGGTCTCACAATTCAGGAGTTCAAGATCGCGCCCTTCCCAGAAACTCCCACAGACCACGACTCATTGCAAAAGCAAGAGGTTTATTAACCATTGCACAATGGGGTCACCCCTGCCTGTCAGCAAAGAGTGGCACCGGGAGACAAAGGCTTTAGGTTTTTAAAAGAAAAATTGTGGGAATTTTGAAGTTGCAGTTTTGGCAATTTAGGATTGGATGAGGAAGCTATAAAGTAAGATAATTGGTTAGTCTTAGGTGCTCAAGCTTGGCCAGTCCTGCCAAGTGTGGATGCAGCTGCAATTGAAGGTGGGGGTGGTTAGCTCATCCTTGAAGATTGGGGCTGCGGACTTTTGGCTGGAGGTCAGGAGCTACTCAGAAGAAGGATTGAGGTCGTCTGGGTTGGTTGCTAAGAAACAGTATCTCGAAGATAAGGGTCTGGTCCTTCTTTTTGCTGAGTGAAGGTCATTGCTTGCTCGCTTTTTTTCTATCTGTCCTCACAGATAGGGTCACATTTCTCCATTCTCTGGAAAGGTACTAAGAGGCTTTAGCTTAACCTGGACCTAAAACTCAAAACTACAGGCTTTAGAAGACATACAGGTTACAAAGTTAGTCTAACCCTTTCACTCCAAGGCACAGAAAATATTTTCAACAAAATCATTGAAGAAAATTTCCCTAACTTAAAGGGGAGGCCTATAAGAATACACGAGGCCTACAGAACACCCAATAAATTAGACCAGAAAAAAAAAATCCTCCGGCCACATAATAATCAAAACTGTAAGTATACAGAACAAAGAAAAAATACTAAAAGCTGCAAGGGAAAAAGGCCAAGTAACATATGATGGCAAACCCATCAGAATCACACCTGACTTCTCAACAGAGACTATGAAAGCCAGAAAGGCCTGGACGGATATCATGCAGACCCTAAGAGAACACAGATGTCAGCGCAGGCTACTATACCCAGCAAAACTCTCAGTCCTCATAGATGGAGAAAACAAGATATTCAATGACGAAAACAAATTTCAACAATACCTACACACAAATCCAGCGTTACAGAAGACTCTAGAAGGAAAAATAGAACCGAGGAAAACTAACTACATTCAGGAAAACACAGGAAACAAATAACCTCACTACAGTAAAACAAAAAGCAACCAAGCACACAAACTTATGACCACAGCCAACATCAAAATCAAAGGATCTAACAGCCACTGGTCATTACTCTGTCAACATCAATGGACTCAATTCTCCAATAAAAAGACACAGACTAACAGAATGGATGTGTAAACAAAACCCAGAAATCTATTGCATACAAGAAACACACCTAAGTCACAACGATAGACATTACCTGAGGGTAAAGGTAATGGAAGATAGCTTTCCAAGCAAATGGACCCAAGAAGCAAGCAGGAGTAGCCATTCTAATATCTCATAAAATAGACTTTCAACCAAAATGAATCAAAAGAGATGGGGAAGGCCACTTCATACTCATCAAGGGAAAATTCCACCAGGAAGACATTACAATCCTAAACATCTATGCCCCAAATACAAGGGCACCAACATTTGAAAAAGAAACATTGATAAAACTTAAACCACACATAGATCCCCACACATTAATAGTGTGAGATTTCAACACCCCACTCTCAACAAAGGACAGGTCAACAAAACAGAAATTAAACAAAGAAAAATGTCTCTAACAGAGGTCATGAATCAAATGGACCTAACAAACATTTACAGAACCTTACACCCAAACACAAAAGAATTTACCTTCTTCTCAGCACCACATGGAACCTTCTCCAAAATAGACCATATGGTTGGTCACAAAGTGAGCCTCAACAAATACAAGAAGATTGAAATAATCCCTTGTATCCTGTCTGATCACCATGGAATAAAGCTGGACCTCAACAACAACAGAAATAGCAAAAATCCTATACACACGAGGAAACTGAACAACTTGCTACTAAATGAGAGCTAGGTCAGGGAAGAAATAAAGAAAGAAATTAAAGTATTCCTAGAACTCAATGAAAATGAAGGTACAACATACCCAAACTTATGGGACACAATGAAAGCAGTGCTAAGAGGAAAGTTCATAGCACTAAGTGCCTTCAAGAAGAAATTTGAGACATCTCGTTCAAGCAATTTAATGGCTCACCTAAAAGCCCTAGAAAAAAAAGAAGCAGACACACCAAAAAGGAGTAGATGACTGGAAATAATCAAACTCAGAGCCGAAATCAATCAATTAGAAACAAATGAAACAATTCAAAGAATCAATGAAACCAAGAGCTGGGTCATTAAGAAAACCAACAAGATCAACAAACCCTTAGCCAAGCTAACTAAAAGGCAGAGAGACACCATCCAAATCAACAAAATCAGAAATAAAAAAGGGGACAGACACTGAGGAAATACAATCATTAGGACTTACGTCAAAAGTCTATATGCCACAAAATTTGAAAATCTAAATGAAATGGACAATTTTCTTGATCGATTCCACTTACCAAAGCTGAATCAAGACCAGGTAAATCAATTAAATAGGCCTATATTCCCTAAGGAAATAGAAGTGGTCATCGAAAGTCTCCCATCCAAAAAAAGCCCAGGACCAGATGGCTTCAGCGCAGAATTCTACCAGACCTTCAAAGAAGAGCTAACTCCAATTCTCTTCAAACTATTCCACAAAATAGAAACAGAAGGAACACTACCAAACTCATTCTATGAAACCAGAGTCACCATGGTACCTAACCTCACAAAGACCCAACAAAGAAAGAGAATTTCAGGCCAATCTCCCTTATGAACATTGATGCAAAAATACTCAACAAAATACTTGCAAACCGAATACAAGAACACATCAAAGATATCATCCACTATAACCAAGTAGGCTTCATCCCAGGTATGCAGGGGTGGTCCAATATGCGGAAATCCATCAATGTGATCCACCATATAAACAAACTGAAAGAAAAAAAAAACACATGATAATCTCCTTAGATGCTGAAAAAGCATTTGACAAAATCCAACATCCATTCATGTCTAAAGTATTGGAGAGATCAGGGATACAAGGCACATACCTGAACATAGTAAAGGCGATATACAGCAAACCTATGGCCAACATCAAACTAAACAGAGAGAAACTTAAAGCAATCCCA